CTCGTCTTGGCTGAAAAGGGGCTTTTCAAGGGGTTCTGCTGAAAAGGTGTCTGTTCCTTCCTTCCCTCCCTCTATTCTTTCCTTGTTTTAAAACCTGAATCATCTTAGGTTAAAAGGGAAAAAAATTCTGCCCCTAGTAGTAGGAATGGGTCAACCAGCTTTGCATTAGTTCCCATGGGAACTAATGATTCGAGTTACAAACCGCCCCTCAACCTAAGAACCCAAAACAGCCAGAACTGATTAATTGGTTTTCAATGCATTCCTATGGAAAATGCTGATTCAACTTACAAACTTTTTGACTTACAAACAATTTCCTTCCGGAACAGATTAAGTTTGTAAGTCGAGGGTTGACTGTACATGCTTGTTTGCAAGAACATTCTATTGAACACAGTGCAACTTATTTCTGAGTAAACCAGAACTGTATCAGGTACTTCCCTCCCTCCTTCCCTCATTATACTTCTATCCTGCCCATCTTAACAGCGATGAAAAACAAGTACCCATCCACTCAAGCACACAGGTAATAAAAACCAACCAAAAGAACCCCTGAGAGGAAATGGCAAACAAAACTTGAATTCAAATTTATGGATCTATGAGAATATCCAACAGAAGTTACTGATATACCTCCAATCTTCCATAGGCTTAAGGTTAAGCCTACATGTTATGTACAATATAAAAGTTTTGTTACAGGAGCAGCAAAGCTTTGTAGGGAAAAGTAATGTCGCTACTTACATGGCCATTGGCAATGTCTAGTAAATCTTTCACCCGGCATCCTCTCACAGGCCCCACCTCATTGCAAATTGAATCCTCTATCACCAAGTAAGTAGCCTTGTAGGCTGTGAGTATCTTATAAATATCTTCAGCTGATCTTTTAGAGTAGATCTGAAAAATCTGCCAGGTTTAAAAATACAGAAACCAAATATAAAATATTAAATAGAGTTCATTTGGAAGCTTTTGGCAGGTTTAAATGATATTTGTCATATATTTCACACATGCAGTATGTGGTATTTTATGCGCGTCCTGCACAACAAAAAGCAGTTGCTTCCAAAAACACCATAGTATTTACAAATGGCAACACTGACCATCCAGCCGCATTTCTATGAGGAAAATCCACTGCCCATCCAGTGAGCCTGACTTGAATCTGGATCTTGCAAGTCCCAGTCCAAAACACTAAAACCTGCATTGGCAATCATTTCTGAGCCTCCAACATGGTGGCATTTTTATCACTTAGCGAGTACTTGAAAACAAAGCAAAAAACCCAAATAAACTTGCTAATCCATGCTAAAGTATTGGATGTAGAAAACTCACACGGCATAAGAGTGACACAGCGTCTTTGGTCAGTCCAGAGAAGTAATGGGGATCCCATCCGATAATGGAATATACTCCATATCTATTAGGTTTGGCCAGTATTATCAGTCAGGGCAAATGCCCAACTTGAACCCCCAATTAGTTACAGTTCATAAACAGGAAGGTCAGTCTTTTCCCCTTGTTATATGGGATGCCAAGTTAGAAAAGTGGTCACTGAAAGGAAATAGCTTTGCTCATCTCCCACCAAACTTTTTCTGGATTCTGAAATCCAGAGAAGGATGCATGGCATTCTAATAGTGCTAAAAAAAGCCCACCATCTTGGTCAAAGACATCTATAGTTTTAAAATTGGGGTGAGCAAGAGGCAACTACAGTGGGGTCTCGACATACGAACGTTTCGAATTACGAACCGCTCTCATAGGAATATATGGACTCGACTTACGAACTTATATTCGAGTTATGATCTCTTTTTTTTCCTTTTTTTTAAAAGCTAAGTCATCTTAGGTTAAAAAGAAAAAAAGAAAAAATATCCCCCTCTAGTGGCAGAAGGCGGAATAGCAGCTTCCCAGTAGTTTCTATGGACGAAAAGAGCAGATACGGATTAAATGATTTTCAATGCATTCCTATGAGAAATGCAGATTCGATTTAAGAACTTTTCGACCTGAGAACTGCCTTCCAATACAGATTAAGTTCGTAAGTAGAGACCCCACTGTAATGGGTTATTCCCTCCCACAAGGTTGTTACTGATGTCACTACCAATTTTTTTTAAAAGGCCCCACGGTCCAAAAACAGGTTGTGTGTGTACAAAAAAGGGTCTCCGCTGGTCAACTGCATCCTCTGGAAGCTTCTGGGAGTCCAAATCAGCAAATATGGCACAGGGAAGATATACTTTCAAGCCCCTGGGAGGGGGAACCTGAACCCTGGAAGTTGGCCATTCCTGCTTTAGGAGGAAGAATGGGAAACCTTTTGTCCTCTAGATATTGAGGACTACAGCTACCCTAATTCTCTGCAGCTGGAGCTTCTGATAAGTCCAAAACATGAAACCCACCCCTGCTCTGGAAAAAAAAGATATGGATGCCAACTTCTACACCACACTGTGCTTGATCACACAGTTCAGACTTTACTTTCTGCAAATTTCATTGAACGCTAAAGAAAGTTAACTTTGGCTGGAGCTTAGCAAAGTATTGTACAGTTATCTGTGAACCTAGGATAACGAAGCTGGGCATATTTTAGGTCTGTTTCCTTACAAACAGGTCAGCAACAGCAAACATGCTTTTGAAAGAAATGCTGTAGAACATCCCAGATGTATTATAAGAGAGTGAACTCACATTCTCATTTCTCTTTTGCAGTTCGTCATCATTATACAAGGGCAGGTTTGTCACCATCCATCCAGTACACAATTTGATCACGCCCATTAGCTGGGGACTGCCAGCAAACACAGCAGCAATAGGAGCCTGTCTTCTGCAAACAAACAAACAAACAAACAAATAAATAAATAAATAAACACAGCATCCTTTCTCATGTATTCTGTAGAACTACACCATATTGTTTGGAATGCTCTTGGACCCAGTCCCTGATTTCAGATACCCACATAGCACCCGCAGCCATGAACACCTGAGCACAGGTTAGCCTAGAACACCAATTATGTCTTTTCCTGAAGGTCGACTGAGCCGAGATAATACATGCTTCCGATTACATCAACCTGGAATTATGGCTTTGTGTTCAGTGTTGGACTGCCACTGAAAAGTGCTTAGAGATTTCAACCTTGTGCAAAGCCCAGCACTGAAAAAAGTTTAACCAGAACTTGGAAAAGACACTTTTTTGAATTACGCCTCCAAAAATCCACCAGCCAGAATGGCCACTGACCCATGCAGGCTGGCAGCTTCAAGGAGAGTTATAATCCCAAAAAGTAGCCTTTTTTAAAAAAAGCTCTACTTTCCACTGAGGAGTGCTGCTCCACTATTTTATTAGCGTCACCCACTGCACATGTTAGTTATCACTTTTAAAGTGCTAAATGGCTTGAAAAAAAGGAGACCCGAACAGACATCTCCTTCCCAAGGGATCAACAGAGGGGACGTTGCTTCCTGTCTCAGCTTCATCCAAAGTAGAGCTTGCAGACACAGGTGAAGAGCATCTTCTCTGTGACAGCACTCAGGCAATGGAACTGCCTAATTCTTCTCTGGATAGCAAACCTTGGAAAATTCATAAGTATGAGTCCTCCTTTGTCTGGACAATCTTTTGGACAATGGCTCCCAAAATCCTCCAGCTATAAACTAAAAAAGCCATTTTCCCACACTCATGGGAAGCATGCACCCCTTGTCCCCCAGTGGTCGCTAAATCTTTGTGCATTCAGCGTAATGGTCTGTACACTGACTGATCAAAGTTGCTGCACTCCGATGCAAGGGGGTCTGTGAAGTCACCAGGAGCTTCAGGGCGCTCAGGGATGAGATGTGTGGGATCACCTATGACCCATCACCATTTTGTGATAAGTAATGTCACAAGAGGGCAAAATTCAACCCTGAGGCTACATGTAACCTCCACAGATGTTTCTGTGCCTTTCCCAATCCTATCAAGAGTCTCCCGCCCGCCTCCAAAGAGCCTTTTAAAGAAGGTTTTTCCTCGCGCATACACATACCCTACCAAAAAGTGAATTACTGCTTCTGAAATCCTCCAGGAGTAGCATTTCAGCTTATAAACAAGTTATAGGCCTCCTGTTCAGGAACTCCTGCTGCCAGTGTTTAACATCCCAGAAAGCCAACCAACCAAACCCCATTTTGTCCAAAACCACAAGGAGATATCTTGCCACTTCCAGTTTCCGATTTAAAGCTTTTCCCAACCATTTCCCCCACATTGTTTATGGTCCATGAAACCTCGGGAGATCCTGGGAGCAGAAAATTGGACTTTAGACCTGTCCTTCCCTGTTCTATGTGATAAACGATGATTGTGAACCTCTGATTAATTTTCAAAAAATATTCAACAACAAGAGGAAAGCAAGAGAACTTTACGGAATGGGATGGGTCACTTACTTGATCCAAGTCATGAGTCCTACTGTGTCAGGGTCATAATATTCCTGCAGTTCTGAAAGTTCTGCCACTATCCTAGGAAAAAACTAAAAGGAAGCACCAAGGCTATGAACTGTGGGAAGACAAATTACAGAACTATAAATAATACAGGAAAGCAGAGGGAGAATACCTTTCTAGCTTTACCATCAAATGACATTACTGCTCAAGATCCTTTTGATAACACTCTAAGACTAGCTTGTTCCAATACTTTTACAGTGGAATCCATCTTATTTTTCACTGATCCATTCTAAAAGTTCATAATGTTTTAACAGAATATGTCCCTTTGACTCAAATATTCCCAATACAACTCTTAACTTACAGTTTATTACCTGTAAATCAGCTAATAAACGTAATAACTGGTTGTTTATTCACTGTAGATACAATGTCTGCTTTGTTTCATTTTCAAGTCCTTTATCATCAGATTGAATTAATTTGCTTTACGCAAACCTACTAGAACTGCAGTAGAGATACACAGTGCTATCTAGTGGCCAACCCACTTTATTGTTCCAATTTCAGATTCCTGTTCAAGGAGCTTTGCTAAAAAAGACAATGATACAAGATAGTAAAAGGCACATCACAACCTAATATTTGCCCTTTAGAATTAAGACCTCTTCTTCTAATAAGCTGACTCAGAAATCATGCTAAGCATTCCTACAGAAAAAACAACAAAGAATCTTAAAGACCAGCAAGTGCTATTGGCATAAGCTTCATAGAATTAAGACCTCTTCTTCTAATAAGCTAACTCAGAAATCATGCTAAGCATTCTTACAGAAAAAACCACAAAGAATCTTGTGGTAACCAGCAAGTGTTATTGGCATAAGCTTCTGCAGCCTAGCCCACTTTATTTACTTCACATACTATGGTATGCTTACCTCTTTCCATAAGCTGAAGCCAATAATAGTCGGGACTGCCATACTCAGGATGAGAGCCTGGACACAGACAAATTAGAACATTATGAATTCCTCTTTGGTCCCCGCTACTGTAAATTTGGACACTTTCATATTACGACAAGACATGCTTTGGGCAGAATCCTATTAATGTTCATATAAGGTTTGGGTAACTTGTCATAGTTAAACTGACAAAGAGTTGGGGCATGTTTTGGTTGCACAGCTGTAAGACACCAATTGTGCAACTGAGCTGTGGCCCAGCACCCCACAAAGGAGTTGCTCTTAGCTGCAACAAGTAACTCAAACCTTAAACCAAATGCCAATAGGATCCTATCATTTAGGACTGAAATCCTACGCAGCAAAGGTGGTATACAGCTGGACAACAACTGCTAGAATTCGTTATCACTGATTATGCTGGCTAGCACAGATGGAAGCTGCAATGTAATCTTTGTCCATCCCTGCTACACATGCTTACAACAACAATACTTGGCGGAACGCCTACTCCCACCAAGGTCTACCCGGATCACCCACGTGAGCCAGGAGGTGAGGCTGAGGAGCCTGACGCCGAGAGAGGCCCGGAAGGAGAAGACACGAAACCGGGCCTTCTCAGCGGTGGCTCCTCGCCTTTGGAACAATCTCCCTCCAGAGATTCGCGCGGCTCCTACGCTGGGCATCTTTAAAACCCAATTAACAACATGGTTGTTCATTCAGGCCTTCCCTCCAGCTAATTTTTGACGTTCTTCTTATTTTTCCTATTTTTATTTTATTGTAGTTGTTTTGTATTATTTATGTATTTGTTGTGTTTTATTGTTTAATTTTATATTGGAAACCGCCTAGAGTGGTCCACTGGTCCAGATAGGCGGGGTATAAATCAAATAAATAAAATAAACAACAACAACAACAACAAAACAACAACAACAACAACAAAGTGCCGTCAAGTCAAATCTTACTTATGGCGATCCTTTACAGAGTCTTCTATGTAAAGAATAGTCAGAAGTGGTTTACTGTCCACAGAAGAAGGGAATGGTAAACCACTTCTAGGTAATGTCTACCCAGAAACCCCCGAAAAGGGTCAGAATTGACTTGACAGGACATGATGGTGATTACTAGAGATGAAAAATGTGTGGCTTTTCAGTTGAAGCTGGATTCCAGTTCATATAAGTGATAGCTACTATGCATGGTGATAAGATCTATAGTTTCATAACATTGAGAAGGCCACATATTTCCCATTTCTGGAGAAAAGGAGAGCACTGTTCGTGTTCATGAGTTCATCTCCCTCCCCACCCCTATTTATTTCTCTCCCAGTTTCTATCCCTTACAGTTTCAGCAAAAGAAAACCACTACACAAAGCATCTCTTTCTGGGGAAGTCCCAATCTATTACATCACAAAAAATTCACCACCTGCATATACTTTTGGACTGCAGTTTTCCATTCCTTTTCAAATGTTCTTCCATGTGGTCACCATTGAGTACCTACAGTGGTGCCCCGCACCATGACGATAATCCGTTCCCCTGAAATCGCTGTTAAACAGAAACATCGTCCAATGAAAACAGTTTCCCCACTGGAATGCATTGAAACCCATTTAATGCATTCCAATGGGGAAATTACCTTGTCGTCCAGCGAAGATTGCCCATAGGGGAAGCCATTTTCTGAGCACCGATCAGCTGCTAAAATGGCTGCCCTGCGAAGCATGAGTCCGGAAAACACAGGGCAGCCATTTTGCAGAGCTGGAAAACATTGTCATCTTGCGAACAAACGGTTCACGAAGCACGGACCTAATCGTGGTCAAACAAAAATCCCCCATAGGAAACATCATTTTGTGATCGCTATAGCAATCTCAAAAAAGTCACCGTCCTGTGGATTCGTCGTTCAGCGGGGCCATTGTCTAGCGAGGTACCACTGTACAAGAAAGATTACAAAGAGGACTCACCAGCAAAATGGGGTGTACAGCCTTCAGTCGAAGCCACCTGAAAAGCGTCATCCAAAGCTCTGGAGAACAGACTCCAAATGCTGCAATCATGCAAACGTAGGGGGTCCACATGTACTTCATTCTAGAAAACCACCAGAAAAATCCAAGAAGAGATACTTGTACATCCCATAACAAGCAGATTACAAAAGCAATTCAAATTGAAAGTCATCTCTGAGTGTCATTCACTAAATTTTGTAGCCACCGATAACTCAAAAGCATTACTAACCCATTATATAGAAGTCTGCAGCAACTTTCTTGCAGCACTCTGCCAGCAAAGTACTTCTGCAGTGTGCATTTCAAATAATTTTATTCTGCCCTTCAATACAAGATGGAATATAGTATAACCATAAGGTCACTTAAAAATCTAATCCAATAAAAATAACTATGAACTATGAATTCCTCGAATGGAATTCTTATAGGCAGGCCATCCACCCAACCCAACCCTCCTACCTCCACTGATTCCTAACTTTTCTTAGACATAGCAATGCCAATGCCTGTTACAAGCATCCAAAATATGCCCCTGAGATTTCTTCACATGAACATAAGCCATTGCTGGTACTTTGAGAGTGCATGTTTCCCTCTGCATTGTTCCTCAGAATTTAGCAACGGGAATATACAATGCTTTCCCAGAAAAATCCTATTCGCTTGTGCAATACAGAGGCTGAGAAAGGTATTTTTTCGACCGTAGGTCTCAGACTCAGGCAGCCAGCTTGGCTGGTGGCTATGTTGGCTGGCAGATTCTGGGAGTTGCCATTCCCAAAAAGTAATGTTTCCAACCTCTAGTGAAGATACCGTGATTCCCCACAAATAAGACAGGGTCTTATATTAATTTTTGCTCAAAAAATCCATTAGGGCTTATTTTCAGGGGATGTTTTATCTTTTTTCCTGTAAAACAATATTCAAATATAGTCAAGTCATTTTCTTCTGGTTGCTGCACAAGGGTGGAGGGTGGGTTTTCACTTAACTAGGGCTTATTTTGGGGGTAGGGCTTATATTATGAGCATCCTAAAAATCATAGTAGGGCTTATTTTCAGGTTAGATCTTATTTTGGGGGAAATAAGGTATCATTTTGCCTCTGATCCTGGACATAATAAGTAACCATTATGACTAGAGCCATAATGTAACCATCTGATAGTCTTATCTTTCATCAATCTGCCTAACTCCCTTTTAAAGGCATCTAAATTAGAGATCACCTCCCCATTTTGTGGTAATGAATGCCATATGTTAACTGCGCAGTGCCCTCATGCTGCTAAACAGTTGCCTTTTGAAACATCAGCAGGACAGAATTGACAGAAAAAAGGAAGATGCAAACAGATCCCCTAAATCTGAGATCCCTGCATAAAATTATCTGCATTGTAAAGAAAGGCAATTGTGGACCAATTACCAGTGTCGAACATCCATTCAGATATTTCCTTTCACTTGACAAAGTCATTTGTATTTGCATACTTTGTCAAGTAAAAGGAAACATCAGAAACAAATGTTCAACATTAATTATGAAGTCTTCCCCCCCCGTTATCACATGACATCAACTTTCTGTTGTTTACTCTTTCTTGCAAAAACTGCCATGAAACTGTATGAGCTACTCTGCCTATCTTATCAGTAGGTTTCGTACCCAAACAAGTGAGGTGTTTTGGTTTTGTAGCATAAACTATCTCCAGAGAGCACTTTTCCAATTGTACTTTCACTTTTTTCAGCAATCTCTGAGGCACATTTTCAAAGAACTGTTCATTTTCAGGACTTCCCTTTGCACCCCAGAAACTCACATTTTTTGAATTACTGACAATCAGTATTATTTTTTAAAGTAATTTTTCATACCCAGAGAGAAATTAAAAATCCATGTATATGTTTTAGCAAATACAGATCAGTATCTTACTGCTTCCAGAATAAATAAATCGAGACATCCGTCTTACCAACTCACCCTTCCATTGTCATGGCAAGCAAACCCAGGGAAACTGTGTGAAGTATATGGTACACCACTTCTGGTCTTTCTCCAACTCTCCCACCCTCCAGCGTTCCACAGACTGGTTTACCGCTGTGATGTTCAGAGGAGAAAGAAAACAGGAGTCATCTCTCCAATTCACAGAGCTTGCTTTACAACTAAACTGCTTGCATTAAGTCCATGGACTGTGCTTGTTACTATGCTCTGGCTTAGATATAAGTCAGTGATGGTGAACATGTGGCCCACCAGATGTTACTGGACTCTTGTTCTCATCATCCCCAGTGACTAATAAGGGATGATAGGAATTTCAGTTGGGCAATATCTGGAAAGCCATAGATTCACCATCACTGATCTAAGGTAGTGCTTTTCCCACAATAACCCAAGAACGTGATATAACAGTGAAATGACCAAGAACAGAACGGGGCAGGGGAAAATCAGTCCATCAATCCAGACATTTTAATTACATTCAGGAATTCTGTTGTAGGCAACAGGGCCGCAGAATATCTTACATTAAATCCAATTTCATATAGATACTGTATACAGTATTTGTTTAGTACAATCCTATTCATCTCTGATCCGCTGCCTTCTGAATTATAGATATGGACAGACAAACTAGGTCTAAATATAAATGCAACAAACAAATTTTAAAAACAGAGTGCGGAAAGTTATTTTTGAAAAGTAGTTAGTTCAATTCCAATCCACTGCCCCTACAATTAATTTGTTGCTACTGTCATTACAGTTTTAAAAAGAAACACTTTACCTGATCATTTCTCAAAAGTAGTTAATTACATTTAGTACCATTTGTCCTATGGTACATCAGGAAAAACTTCTTAATTATTAGAACAGTACAACAATGGAACCAATTACATTGGAAGGTAATGAGTACTCCAACACTGAAGGCATTCAAGAAAAATCTGGACAACCATCGGTCAGATCTGCTTTGATTTTGACTCCTGCATTGAGCACGGTGTTGGAGTCGATGGCCTTATGGGCCCCTTCCTACTCCATTATTCTATGGTTCTATGAAAACACTCTATCTTCGCCTGCCTTCCATAATTACCTGAAAATACCTAAAACACAGCACAAGACAAAGTATTTCAACTCTACATTATTCCTCTTCCACCCCATTATAAAAGCAGCTTTAAAATTAATGTTACAGCTATGTTGGACATGAAATTCTATTTCAAAATACTGAAATACTGGACAACACCAGCAATCATTATGTTAGACTGCACAGGGAAGCCACTGAAATCCATAAACATCAGCAGAACTTCAACAAAAATGAAGAAAGTTTGAAACTCAACAAAACTTTGCTTCCAGCATTGAAAAATACAGCCTGTAAAAGGTCAAGGAACTCCACCCAGCCACAAGGACCAGTGATCACTACACACAAAAGACCAGCTAACGACACCCATCAATCCCAGTGACAGATAATCTCTCCTCCTTATCACAACAATACACCCACAGCAAAAACACACTGATCACCATAATCACCCATCTCCTGAAAAGGACAAAAGCTGATCTCACAGCCTTAAATACTCAGCTCCCAAACAAACTGCACCAGAGCACAGAGTGCTGTCCTCTGAAAATGCTGGCCACAGAGACTGGCGAAAGGTTAGGAAGAACAACCTTCAGAACACAGCCAAAGAGCCTGAAAAACCCACAACAACCATTACAGCTATGTTATGCCTCATTATGTCATAATTAAAATATAAATTACTTATGACTTCATTATTAGAAAAAGGACCATTTTAAGTAACTTTTTCATAGTTACTTCCAAGCTCTGAAAATAAATAAATAGCATAAATTTACAGAATCTGCCTACATTGTTTTTGAGGTAGAAGTATAAAATGAATTGGTCATTCATGTGAACAGATAAGGATCCATCATCCATTTTGGCACAGACAGGGAAAATAAAGTTGTTATGCAGCTTAAAAACCTTTTGTCCACCTGTGGTATTTGCTTGTGAAGGCGAATATCAATTGTAATTCACATGTAGCAACTAATCTGTAAGTCACAGATGAGGAACATGTGGCCCTCCAGATGCTGCTAGACTACAGTTCGTATAATTCCTCACCATCAGTTACGCTGGTGGAACTTACAGTCCAACAATTATCTGAAGCACTGTTTCTCCCTATATAAGCCGACAATATGAGATAGTGGCTGTGGAATGCCCTTCCTCTCGGCTGCCCTTAAGGCAGCAAGCAAAAACCTCCCTGTTTAAGCAAGCATTTAACAACTGAATGTAATAGTTTTTTTGCAGGATGAGGTCATTTTTTTTCCTCTTTCATATGATTCCCTGTTTTTAAAAATGGTTAAAGCTTTTATTGGTAGTTCTTAAATGTTACTATACATTTAATTGCTTTTTAATGTCATGCCTTATTAGTTTTTTTCACGGTACCAATTTTTAATTAGTTTTGAGATGTCTTGGGTCCCTTTACTGGGAGAAAGGGGCACAGAACACCAATCCAATAAAATAAAAACCTCTGGAGGGCCCCTGGGTACACCTGGGCACATGGTAACAACAATGATGGATGAAAGGCCTAAGAATGAATGGAAGCCAACTTAACTTACCTAATCCTCAGAAAGATGGACTGACCAAGAGAGACGAGGCAAATCGTCAGCACTAAAATGTAGAAAGGCAACAGCGAGGACTGAGTAAGCCGCAAGAAAAAATCTTGGGATGGAGTTTGAAGAGATTCTTGACAGAGGAGCCAATTCACAGTGAAGTTCCTAGGAATGCCGAAAATAAAACATGTATAGTTTGGGGTGTGCCCTGTCAGGAGACAATCCCATCCCCTCACCCTGTATTTGCACAGGTCTATCCGGTTGATATTTATGCAACACAGAATGTATGCTTACATGTATATGAATATTTATGACGTGCTTGCGAAGAGCAGGATGCTCTATTTGCATAGAATGCTTTTAACCAATCAGATTGCATGTATGGTCAGCCAGGTTGTTATAAAAGGCCATGTCTGTCAGGAGTCAGTGAATGTCAGTCAGGGGCCTGTACAATATGTAGAGTTAGAGATGGAGTCCAATATGAGATCAGGACAGTTGGGGCTGACAGAGTCTTATGATACGTACCTCAGACACTCAGACTGAAATATAAATGTAACTGATAATATGTACTAGTGCTAAATAATGATATTATGTATATAGCAATATAAGAAATTGATAACTATTTACCAGTGAATGTCTTTCATACCAAACATACCAAATATTTAAGTACTGTATTTCTGTAATACACACACACACATTTATTAATTCTTAAAAGTTATTTATTATATATAAACCAAGTCATTAGTGCTTATTTGAATAACTGCTGGCACAAACACACAATACAGGAGAACAACATTTTGCTCTATACTATTTAAATAGTGGTGATTTTTTCTAAAAGATTCCAGCTACAATATTCTAATTCTGCTACTACTTTACAGGCTATAACTAATTTATTATAATCAAACCTAACATATCCTCCACTTAAAGAGATCTTAAGGGATTAAGATAAATATTTTGGTTATAAATGTGTACTTTTGCAGCTCAAGCAGGCAATTCCACAATAGGAAGGGGTTGTCTGTAATGTTATTCATGCATGATGAAGAAAGCAGTAGACTGCAAAAGCTTTATTCCATCAGATTATAGTTACAGTTATGGTACTTATTTCACCCAGAAATCTCTTAGACAGGTAGTCTGGGTTTCACAGAACAGACTTCTTCCACTCCCTTATTTCCACATGACTTCATATCTTGTTTCCCTCGTCAATGGGTCTCCTTTGGAATTCCTGGCCTGGAAACGGAGCTTCTCTCCACTTGCAGGTATAAGAACAGGCCTGCTTGCTCTATGGCTTTATGCCCCTCAACTCCTCACATCCCCAAGGGGAAATCCAGTCCAGGAACCTTCTCTCTCAAGTTGCAACCAGTAATTAACTCTGCAACTTTTCCTTGCTTTTACAAAATGAAAGTCCAAGGTAATCTTATTCGTAAGTTCATAAATGGCTACATACGAAGGATCATATTTTCCTAAGGCACTGAAAATCATGAGATCACAGTGTGTCTTGGTGTATGAAACTTCTGCATAAGACAAATGGGGGCTGATAAGTTTCTCAAGCTGGCTCTGGGGATCGCCTCCAGTGAACATAATCGGGAGCTGCCTGAGTTCGTCAAAATAATCACATAAAACTTACTTAGTTGTGTTTAAACCCAGCTTTACTTCAACTACTTTCATTAAATGCTCATTTTCTTTATAGGAAACGAACGTCTGAAAACAAACAAAAGTATGCATTAGGATTGCTTTATTTTTTAGTTACATACATAGCACACTGTAACAAATCACATAGAACTATGTCAAGCATCCTTCATTAATTGCATTGCACTTCCTCCAAACAATAGTAGAAATACAGTTCTGCCAGGTCAATTTCACTATAGCATGGATGGGGGGCCTCATAGTGCAGTGGTTAAACTGCTGGACTGCAGCCAAAACTGTGCTCACAACCCGGGATTCTATCCCAGGAAGCCGGCTCAAGGGTGACTCAGCCTTCTATCCTTCCGAGGATCAGTAAAATGAATACCCAGCTCGCTGGGGGTGGGGGTGTGGAAATGTGTAGCCTGCATAATTAACTTGTAAACTGCCCAGGGAGTGCTTGAAGCGCTATGGGGTGGTATATAAGCAGCACACTTTACTTTTTTTTTTACAAGCCCCATAATCCCCAATCATTGAACTGCCCAGAGAGTGCTTAAAGCGCTATGCAGTGGTATATAAGCATCATGCTTTACTTTTTTTTTAACAAGCCCCATAATCCCCAATCATTAGCCCCACTAGCTGAGGCTGAAGTGGCACTCCAATATGACAACCCACATCTACTTCCTTTCATTCTCTAACAAATGCAACATTTTAAACCAATCATTAAACAGTATGATCATAAAATACTGAATGTCTAAGCTGCAAAATATCTATAAATAGAAAAAGGAATGGTGGTCCATTTTTTAAAAAATAAATAAATAAATACTGTACTCCCCCTACAAACTATATGAAGACATAAGGGACATACCATTGAAATACCAACTCTGTAGGTTTGTGTTTTTGGACTACAACTCCCAGAATTCACTAGGCACCACAGCCACTGGTGCCTGGGGAACTCTGGAAATTTCAATCCAAAAGGACAAATCTGCACAGGTCTAATACCAACCATGATTCCTCATAGCAAGTATTGCATCTATGAGGCAATATGCCACAGCTGAAAGGACCCTGTTGCAAACAGAGCTTAGAAAAGTTACTTCGCTAGACCACCACTTCCAGAACCTCCCCACTGTCATGATTACTAGCTACACTAGCTCTTTAAGTCCTCAACACTGACTTTTTCAAGCTTTGCTCTTGGCTGTCACACATCAGACCTCCATAAGAGTAAAAAAACCAGCAGAGCAGGATGCTTTCTAAAGATCACAGTAGGAGTGTACCATTCCTTTTTTTGGGGGGGGTGGATAGGTGGGTGGGTGAGGGCTACAATTCCCGGAATTCCTCATAAAGCTAAATGACAACCTTGCACTGTAAACTAGTTTTGGTCCCAATTGTGGCAGAAGGGTGACATATAAATCCAATTAAAAATGATAAGGAAACAATGCTAGAAATAACTGATTACTGTCCTCTCATGTAGCACATTATTGTTTTAGATGCTGTTAACATATAAATCCGATTAAAAATGATAAGGAAACAATGCTAGAAACAACTGATTACTGTCCTCTCATTAGCACATCATTGTTTTAGATGCTGTTAAATTAAGCTAGGAGAGGATTTTTTGGGGGGGGTGGGCGGTAATGTTTCACCATTCCTGCTAAAAGAACTCGAAGAGTTGTAGTCCAGAAAAGCAACTTCTCTAAGGCATCATTTTAATATAATTTGCTATATGGCCACCTATCGGAAGAAAAATCCCAAATAATAAATGAACCTTTGAACAGTGGCCTCAACTTCCTGGCTTCATCTCTCCCTCCCCAATGTCTTCCCATTCCTGTCCTTATCTGGGTTCTACAAAAACACTGTAAGCAACGTTAAGAGCTTGGAAAATGCACATGCACTTCTCCTTTGTTGTGGCTGCCCTTGTGTGAGTAGATAGATGGCTGGTTTCTTTATCACTTCAGTCCATAAACTTTTTCATGGAGTTAAAAACCACACAAAAGAGGCTGTGCATTCTCCTACACAACTCCGTTTAGAAAAACAACCAAATACTGTCATACCATCTATGATTTAATGGATTTTTTTAAAAAAGAAAAAAAGGTTTACCTTTGCTACTAGATTCAAAGTCACTGTCACTGTGAATACCAAATAAAAATAAACGATTTTTAGCATCCTTGAAAGAAGTGTCCCCTTTTTTGTGTTCATCTGCAAGGGAAGAATGAAATTATGTTTATAACAAAGATAAACAACTTCCAGTGTGCACACCACTGTGGTGTAGTGAATGGGACTCCAGACACATGGGTCACATCCCAACTTTACCATGAAAACTCACTAGGAGATGGCAATGTTAAACACCTCCTTGAACATCTCATAGACTGCGAAAGCCATATTAGGGGCACAGTAAGTCAGAAGCAACTTGATGGAACGTAACTATGACAAAAGCAACTTCTAGGGGCAGAGTCCATACATAGAACTCCATCAATCATACTTCTGAAATTTGGTGATGTCTGTCTCACAGCTCTCTATGGTGAGAAGGGTGTCAAAAGTTCCCTCCCTAAGGTTCAGGAAACGAGGAGGAAGGCAGGGAACAGTTTGCAAAGCACTTTAGAAATCTTTTTTTTCAAGGAAGCCAATTCTAAATCATGTTTTAAAGCATGTTGTGCTGATTTTTTCAGCACAAAGACACGCAGGCAGGCTTTTTAGGTGCTGAGCAAGTCTCCCCAAGCCTCTTCAGAGCCAGCCCATCAGCTGATAGGCGGGGAGAGGATGGTGCAGGAGTGGGGGAAAATCACAAAATGGCTGCCAGGCTCCCTTCTGGGTGTCGGCTTTTAGCTGTTTCCTGCTCTTTTTCCTGCAGTTCGGGGGCTACCAAGGCCTGGTAAGTGATTTTTTTATTTATGTTTAAGTTTCTGACCATTTTTTCCCCTCCAGAAGCCTCTAAGGGGAGGGAGGGGGCACTTTTTTTTCCTGTTGTAACTCGAGGGAAGGTTGTATGTTGAGTCCTTTTTTCCCTATTGGGCGGGTTCGTAAGTTGAATTGTTCGCAAGTAGGGTCATTCGTAAGTTGAGACCCCACTGTATGACAAAAGCAACTTCTAGGGGCAGAGTCCATACATAGAACTCCATCAATCATACTTCTGAAATTTGGTGATGTCTGTCTCACAGCTCTCTATGGTGAGAAGGGTGTCAAAAGTTCCCTCTTCCATCAAAGAGCCATTGGTTAGGAAAGGATGATTAGGTAGCATGGTTCGGTTTTTGTGGCAGTGCCATTGCCAGTTCTGGGTGGTTTGGTTTGTCAGTAATGGCAAAAGGCCACAACAAAAACCTTGCAGGTGAAAAAGTTTTTAAAAAGAAAAAAAAACATGGTGGCCCTTTAAAGACTAACTTTTATATTTTTTAATCTGAGATTTCATGAATTTTATGTTTCATTTTATTTTCACCTGTAATGCTTGCACAGACAAACACGGCTACTCCTTCTACAAAAAAGACCTTAAGTGAGCACATCGGCCATGTGCTGCCCACTCCTGCTTCACAGAGAAACATCAATAGAGAAATGAAACATCAATACAGAAATGCATAGGGCAATTCAATCATCTTCCAGTTATTACCTGAAGGTATTTTGCCAGCAACGCAGCAGCAACAAGACTTAGTAGTGGAGAAACTAATAAAGCTGGATTTTCAAACTGTAACATGTATCCCAGAAACAGAGAAAAGAGGTAAATTTTATACACTTCGTGTACCTGTAGAAGGGGAATATAAGGTAAGGTAAGATGAGATCAGCTAAGACAAGACATGATACTGCTACACTAAAGCATCTTAGTTACCTCACATGCAAGAAGCTGTAGAGGGTCTTAGCTGTTCTACATGCAAGAAATTATAATCTTCTAAAATATTTACTGCCAGTGTAATCTATGCCCACCTGACCTAAAAAAACTGAGCTGACAGAAGGCGGAATATAAGGTAAGGTAAGATGAGATCAGCTAAGACAAGACATGATACTGCTACACTAAAGCATCTTAGTTACCTCACATGCAAGAAGCTGTAGAGGGTCTTAGCTGTTCTACATGCAAGAAATTATAATCTTCTAAAATATTTACTGCCAGTGTAATCTATGCCCACCTGACCTAAAAAAACTGAGCTGTCAGAAGGCTGAAAACAAAATAAAAGCATTGCATTTAACAAGTAATTAAATAACACATTTCAACTGTCAAAATACCTTCTCTGTCTGTATGGGACCAATGACGTCTAGCAGGAAGAGAGAAATAGCCTGGATAAACAGCAGGTAGTGACTGTATTCCCACATCATCATGAAAGTGTATGTTGAAGCACTCACCAGCAAGTAGCAAAAATTTCGTCGTTCTGCGGTGCGCTCGTTAAGCGAGGCACCACTGTAAAAGCATTACATTTAACAAGTAATTAAATAACATATTTCAACTGTCAAAATACCTTCTCTGTCTGTATGGGACCAATGACGTCTAGCAGGAAGAGAGAAATAGCCTGGATAAACAGCAGGTAGTGACTGTATTCCCACATCATCATGAAAGTGTATGTTGAAGCACTCACCAGCAAGTAGCAAAATTTCTGGGAAAAGCAGGGGCAAGGAGGAAATAGACAAGAGATAGATCACCTTAATTAGTTATTGGTAACTTATCTCTAAACATAAAAATCTTGATGCGCCACCTCAGTCCAATAAGTGTGGTGTGTTGGACCAAGCCTGCCGTTTCTTCCCAATGCTTGTTTATCAATGACATTACCTTTTAAAATATTTCTACCTTACCTCAGCAGAGGAGTTTATGTTGTTCTTTAAATAGCCTGTAAGAGCTGCAACTTGACAAGCAAAATACGGCAGGGCCCAGTTTTCCCTTGAAGGGATAGAGTAGTCTATCCTCGTAGTATCAGCCCTGAAAAATGGTAAATCAAAAACACAAAATGGAAATACTTTCATTTGAGTATTTGGAATACTGTCAAGCGTGAACATTCAATTATGAATCATGCACTACTGATCTTCAGAGAAGCTACATATCAGTATCAGTCGCATATGACAGGAACCTTTCTAGACCTATCACGTTCTTTTGCCATGCAAAATGTTTTATATGGCCAGAAGCTAGTTTCCCTGGGAGCAAAGGCCACGCTCCTTAGTGATAACACGGTGATCATGGTTCTACCCTCTGCCCTGCAAGAACAATGTCCTGCAATGGGCTTCAAGGCCTATTCCAGCCTTTGCAGGACAAAAGAAGAACAAGAATCACAAGGACAGGCCATGGTTCTTATACTTATTCACACAATCTGCTTCCTGTCTTTTACAAACTCCAGTCAGTGAAACAAATGCACTTGAATTTATCCCATCAGTGGAAGAGAAACGTCTACACTAAGATTCCTTCAAACATACCACATAAAGAAATGTTTTAAATGATTTGGAAATATCCAAATCACCTGTCCTAACAAAAGGTACAGTCAATCAATGAGACTAATGAAAGTGTTGACTTGATTCAATGAGTCTACTCTAGTTAGTATATAGTCCAATTGTAAGGAATACAGTTGTTTGTGCCTTCAGATGGACTGGAGTATAATACCCATCCACTACAGGCAGCACGGAGGACAAAGGCAGAGTTAAGCAGTAACAACATTTGAAGTGAGGGAGAGAGGAAGAAGAGAGGACACTACCAAAGCAGCACACGATCTATTATTTCCCAGGCCTGCTAGCTTATATCAGCCAAAGCAGAAGATGAGAAATGATTTTTACCCCAATAGATCTCTACTTTTCTGGAATTCACCACAATCACTGAACCCTGCAATAGGGACAAGGGAGATCACTTAAGTGGTCTGTCAGGTAATAGAGCTGAGAGAACATCAGAATCCTAAAGTACCCTCGGTTAACCCATTTTAGGGCCTACTGATGATAACACCACTGTTGGCAGATGTACAGGTGTGGAACTGTCATAAGTATGACCAGGATCTAAAATGCAGACAAAGGACCAGACTTTGGGAAAGTGACTATTTGGACTGTAAATCCCAGAACTCTCTGGCTATCACAGCCGTGCCAGACACACATTGTTGTCGTTTAGTCATGTCCGACTCTTCATGACCCCATGGACCAGAGCATGCCAAGCCCTCCTATCCTCCACTGCCTCCCGGAGTTGTATCAAATTCATATTGGTTGCTTCGATGACACTGTCCAACCATCTCATGCAGACACACACTCCATCCTAAATGTCTCATGTACATGTCAGGACTTCAGAAAACATCATATAAACGTTTAGTGGTTGCTTCAGCATTTTATACTGTCTGTTGCACCACCCTGCTTTGAAAGTATCTTAATTATTCCTAGTTTTTAGTCATATTGCTTTATGGTTATTTGATGTTTAATTTTGATTTTTGATTGTTATTATGTTTATTGTTTTTATATTATTGTTTATTTGTTTTCGAGTTGTAAACAACCCAGAGTGGCCCTAGCAGCCAGATGGGTGGAATAAAAGTCAAACAAGCAAACAAATATGCACACTTTGCTTTACCTGTTAATGACGAACCAAGCAACAGTCAGCATCCCTGCTAGCCAAGTTCCACTCATAAGCCAGCTGGTTACAAAGAGTGCCGTCACATAGATCCCCTGCAAGCCAAATACGATGCCAATGTAAAAATATACAGGTTCAACAACTTCCTGGAAAAGAAAGATAAAAATACCATATATTTTAAAGACCTTTCAGGATTTGTAAGTAGCAGAGACATAATTAGAGCATAATTATTCAAAATTCACAAATGAAATACAGTGGTCCTGATCAAGAAGCTGTCCCAAAAACACAACCCAAAAAAGCGCTAGCTAGTTAATTTAGAAGATTTATGCAGGTGTCCTGCCAGAGAATCAATGCCTATAAAAATACACCTTAGCTCTGTTGTATTTTTGAAAAACATAAAATGGAGACACCTTCCTTGAGGCCTCAAGTACTCTTAGGTGTGTCAGTTAGGAGCCTACAAGTATTCAGATAGGAGTACTTCTGTAAGCAACCTGCTAGGCAATGGGGTGGTGTGGGGCCCATTGGGTGGGTGTTCTGCCCAATGTCTCCAACCCCCACCCTACTTAATGTTTGAAAACCTGCTCCAGAAGAACAACATGGGGAGCAGGACAGGAATCCCACAGGTTCAATCAGTGAACATCACCCTTCCTCTGTAAGGAATACCTGTCAGATCACAGTCTTTCTGATTATAGAATGGAACATTCTGGATCCAGCCAGAAGTGAGAATGTTACTTTAGAGGTTGGCGAGCTGCAGTTCTCAGAATAGCCCATCAGCAGGGCCATGTTTTCCATTTCTGGGTGAACCATCACTATCAAGAACAATATTTCACTTTAATATTTACTTTAACGCATTTGAAGGGTTCAAAATTCACCACTTATATTACCCTCAGACAACTGAGGAACAGCAGGCCTGCTAAGTTGATGGCAATTCTATCTATTTTAATTGCATTTTAATCATTTTATCTTTTATTGCATTTTAATTGTTGTAAGCCGCCCAGAGACCTTTGGGTAGAGTGGGCGGCATACAAATTAATTAATTAATTAATTAAGTAGGCCAGTACTGTCCCATGCTGCAGATGAGAGAGTGGAACTGCACTTTCCATTGATAAATAAATAAATAAATAAATAAAAGTAGGCCAGTACTGCCCCATGCTGCAGATGAAAGAGTGGAACTGCACTTTCCATTGGCCCACCTCGTGAGTTCATGGTAGGGTCAACTATGGAATCAGGGACTTGCTGGTTCACTCCTCACACTAAGTCACAGTAACAGCTTCTCTGTAGGACCTACCATGTACAAAAATAAATGCCTGTACCTTGCTCTTTTTTGGATATAGTGTAACCCCCACCCTTCTCCCTAAACTTTTAAGGCAGCCTTACTGCAAATATGGTGGCTTTGATCACCTCTTCTTAAAACAAAACAAAACCCTTTAAACTCATACTTAATATCTTGGTAGCACTCAAAAAATGTTCCAGGGTGAGGATATGGAAGTTTTGGTCTGCAGATATTTTGGTCTACAACTCCCATCTTCCTCATTGTGCATGATGAATTATTAGGGATTATAATCCAAAACATCTGGAGGGCCCAAGTCCCCTACCCCTGCTGCCATTTCAGGACTTGTTCTGTCATTTTCTCTTCTGCATTTGTCCTGCAGTAGGTTATTTTTGGTATCCATCTTGCCTTGTTGATTTGTTCCTTAATCATACTGGGTGGATATTACATCCTGTCTTTCCTTTGATGAGCCCAAGGCAGCTTATCTGGACCTTCTCTCCTCACTTGGCCCCTACAACAACTCTATCAGGCTGTTTCTAACTGAGGAACAATGTCCCACCCATGATCACCAAGTGCGTTTCACATGGCTTGGTGAGGACATGAACCTGGATCTTCAAAGTCTGAACCCAATACCTAAATCACTACAAAAAATGGCTCTTTTTTTTTTCATTCTGAGTACATGAAACAGTACTAACACACAGTTCATTACTAAGGTTTTGGCACCGACTGCTTTAGGCACTATGCATCCCTTTCATTTATTTCTTGGGAGAGTAAGAAGCAAGAAAAAGATGCATACTTCACTGCCGGATGCTTGATATAAGATACTTGCTATCAGCTCCGGATACAAAGTCAGCTGTCGCACAGCATTCATGGTTTTCATTGACAGAGTGTTGTTGTCATGGGTAAGTTGATAAATGCCTAAAAGAAGTGGGAAATGGTCTGCATTATTCATACACTTCTTCATAATTAAGAAGACAAACAGTTTCTACAATGAAAGCATCCACTACATCGTGAAGCTTCAAAGAAGATGTCAGATGCCATCTCATCATGTTCATGGAGAAAAGAAAAGTCTAGACTGATTTTTTTTGAAGGGCGCTTTAGACTCAATTGTTTAGGGAAGCGAATAATTCAAAGAGTTTCCCTCTAATGTAACAAGCTTGCTTTCTGCTGCTCTACTGATTGAGAACCAAACCAATGGTTTCAAATTGCAAGAAAGTAAGTTACAGTGGAGTATTAGGAAGAATATTCTGCTGTTAATAGATGTTTGATGGCAGAATGGACTACCTTGGAAGGTGGTGTATTCCTCTTTGTTGAAGAGCTTGGATGGCCACCTGTCAAAGATGTCATAGTTACAGATTTCCTGCATAGGCAGAGAGTTGGACTAAATGATCTACTATTTTATGATCCTGTAAATACCTGTTCAGCTACAAAATCTGTATCTGTATGTTGATGATGAATCTGAGGTGGTCATCTACCACATATAAAACGCACAGACCCAGCAACAACTGGGGTGGGGAGTGACTATAGCTTTCAGAATCCTCCAGCCACCTTTGCCACTCACCATGTTGGCTGGGGGATACTGGGAGATGTAGTCCAAAAAAGTTAACTTCTCCAACCTCTGAGCTCCACAGTGAAAAGTTCAGTAGGCCTTCTTTGCAATCTAGCTCTTTACAAGCAACTAACCAGCAGGTCATACTGTACTCCAGGACCACATCTGCATATCACAACAAAGCATAGGCTGGTTTGTTGACATTTGTTGCGTAGAAAGGCACCTCTGCTAATAAGCCATGGTTTCTCAAGCAGCCACAAACCATAATCTGATTTGTTTGTTTCTGGCTTACAAACTGTGTCTTACTGGAGCCATGTCTTCACCTGTAACTTCTGAACCTACAACTGTGGCTTGTCCCCCAGGCTTGTTTCTCCAGAAGGCCACCATGGAACCAGAGCAGGCAAAAGTGGTGGTGAGAGAGACCAGCCAGAAGCCAGAAAGACAAGCTATAACTTGTTTGGTTGCGAGTCTTGCAATGTGTGGCCTAAGCAACAAGCCATTGTTTAAACCATGGTTTACAGTGACATGCCAACATGCTGTGCATGCATTAGCATAACTCAAAGAAAGGTGCCAGACGTTTAACCATATTCTTAAGTTTCACAAATTTCAACAGGACTTACAAGATATTTCATGTCCTGTAGAATTTAAGAAAAGCAAGAAGAAACCAATGAACTCAGAAAACAAAAATCTAGATGAAAACATTTATGAACAAACTAGTACTGTATTGGTAAGAGGGTGTGCAGACTTCATCAAACTACCAAGTTTTTCAGGTCTACCTGCGCAAGAGTTTCCTGTAGCCTGAAAGCCTGCATATATTCTCTCCCCTTTTTCAAAATGTTTGTCAAAATAACAAGCTACCAAGTACTTAAGCCTTGTTTGATTCAATCTTAGTCATTATTTGAAAAGTCACTTTTTAAAACTGTATCTCCCACAATCCCTTAGCCAGCAGCATGGCCAGTGTTCATGGTAACTGGGGGATTCTGGGAGATGGGTTGTACAAAAAATATATATAATAACCCTTTGAAGCAGTGGGCTATTTGTCTTACCTCTTTTAAAGGAGGGTGCCTTTAACAACTCCTTATAAAATGAGTAGTATATAGCACTATCACCTTGAAATGTGATTTCCCGTTCAAGCTCCTAGAAGATGGAACATGACAATATTATATACACATTTTACATAAGACCATCTACTGTACTTTTCAATAGACTGAATTTATAATAAATCACAAGAAAACATGATGGTGCGCCATTTCCGTTCATAGGAAACGCAGACTGCCCACAGCTGAAGTTTTCTGAAAATCACAACAGCATGATTATAAAGCCACAATAACAGGACTCATTTGGGAGTCTCTAAAATATAAGGAGACACTTTACACCTATTTGGAACAATACCCAGAGTTGGTACTGCCTACTCTGACCACCACCAGCTCTCAAAAGCCTAATGCCTGAAATCTTGTTTAGGCAGACAGCAGAGATACCAGGAAGCAAAACGGGATCATGACCTTGACCTCACCTGGTAACAAAGATATGATGCCACCAGGAAAGTAGAAACACTGGGGAAAAGTCTTCCGACCCCAAGAACGTACTGAATTACTAAACTAAACAGTATGGTCTAGTGGTCAGAGCATCTGTATGGGATTAAATGGGATTTGGGAAAGCCAGATTCAAATTTCTAATCTTACATGGAATTCACTAGTGAACTTTCACCTGGTTGCTCACCTGTTCTTGTAATCTCTCAGCTTGACCTATCCCATAGAACTGTTGTGAGGACAATGTGGGGGAATGCCATGAGGAGAACCCCCATCAGCTCACTGAAGCTAAGATGGGAGATATTTCACTAACAGATAATGAAAAACTGGAACAATTGCAGGAAGTTTATTGCCAACAATTTCCAACCCTGATCTAGAATAGAAGTAAGGGGTGAGACACACCCTGAAAATGGTTCTGCTTCCTTACCGGTCTGCCGGAGAACCAGAACTTGCGCTCATGGTACGTCGAAAGGTATACAGCATACATCATTCCACTTACAACTGCTGCAAGACAGCCGAAAAAAAGCTTTGCAAACCGTGGGATTAAGACATCTGAAAAGTAACGTTACAAACCTCATGAAAATCCATCTGGGAGCTGTGTGGATTTTTTTAATACACGAAGTATAAAGAACATTCTTTCAAGGTCAAACCAGTTTGTCATATCTCATTATGAATGGGAAACTCAGCTAGCATAGCCACAAGATATTTTGACAGACTTCCATTGTAAAATCAAAAGAACTGAGCTACTTATGTTACATACTGATTAATTCTCCACTCACTCGCAGCTGTCATCTCTTCAAACAGCTATGTTTAACTAATATTGTTATACAATGTAACTTGGCAACCCATAATGAATGTTTCACTATTTTGCTTTTAATCTGGACTTAATTTTTTAAAATTTTTCAGTGCATACTTGACTTTTCTCTCTTCCTGGATGAAACAGGTAACTGAGGAGCGCAACTACTGCATGCGAATGAGCACAATGGAGTCCTAACAGATGCAGGTTGAATTTTTTTAAATGACAAACTATAAAAGGAGGTTGCACTTTGGAGGAGAAGGGGGCACTATTAGTTTAGCCACTTAGCTGTTTAAAGGCTACCTTCAACTGCTTTTCTTCTTTAAAGGGCGATACATCAGTGTTCATTGCATGATGATGTATCTGGAACCTTGCAGGAAAGAAAGCAGTTGTGCGTTTTGAAACAGTCATGTTTGACCAAAAAATATGCCCAGAATGAAATCAGTTCCAAACCTCTTTTTTTTCTCCCCTTCCTATTCCTTCACTAAAATAAATATATAAAATCACAGTCTTCAGAGATTGCTTTTAATAAAAAGGTAAAATAAAAACCAGAGGATATTCAGAACACACAATTTCCTCTCTAGGGCACACCTTCTACAAATGAAACAAAGCATCTCCTTTGCTTATTTCAGCCTGCTTTGGAGCAACTTATACATTTAATTATATAAAGACAATTTAGTTATTTTGGTGTCCAAAATATTCAAGTCACCCAAGAATAATTTCCACAGTTCTTTGGAGAGAACATACCAATTACAGTACTGTACTTTGTTTCTTAGCTGGTTTATATTTCTCATACATATGACAACGCGGCTGGAAGGCAAGAGAGCCACACATCAACTTATACGAAAAATCATCTACAGCAGTTATTCCCAGCCTTAGGTAATCCAGGTATTCTTGCACTGCAATTCCCAGAAGTTTTCACCACCACCAGAGCTGGCCAACGTTTCTGGGAGTTGCAGTCCAAGAACACCTGGGTTACCCAAGGTTGGGAACCACTGATCGAAATGGTAGTCTTCCTTTCAAGAAAGTAAACAGTACATCAGCGTTAACTGCAATGTAATACTCAGGCTTTGGAAAGACTACTCATATTGAAACTATTCCTTGAGTCATCAGAACTCCATGTAGCTGAATAAGTAGGCGGGCAGAAAAGGAATAATCTCGCCCTACTTTGCAGCCTTTTTAGTAGAAGTTTTCTCTCCCCCCCCCTTCCTGTTTGCTTAAGAGGTTAATAATATACAGGCAGGACTTCCACAGGCAGAATGATGGAATCCAACAAAGCTGGAGTAGATCCCCCCTCCCCATTGCCATCCTCCTCAAAACCAAGCAAGGAGGGGCTGAGAAACCCTTCGAAGCTACCTTTTGGATAGCACAGCAGGCAAAGAGGAAAGAAGGAAGGTTCACTGCAACCTCCAAGACAGTCCTAGATACACCACCATGTTCCATGCATTCCATGGAGGAAGGGATTCCTTCCTCTGCTGCCAGCATGGGCACACAGGCTACGTCTAGAACTGTGCTGATGGTTACAGTGGGACCTTCTAAGCAAGTTGGTCAAATGTTTTGCAGGCCAGTAACTTCAGTGGGCTTATTTACAGGGCTGGGCCCATAAGCAGCATTCCACAACCAGGAGTTTTTCCCAGCATAAAGATTTTCACATGTACTTTACACAACATTAGCAAAGTTGATTTGTAATACACACACACACACACACACACACACAACTTCATTATGATAAACATGAAATACTGGAAAGAAAAGGAGATGCACAGCTTACATCTTGGAGATTTTTTCTTCTTTTTGCTTTCTTCATTCTCTTGTTTAGGAGCATCTTCTTCAGCTTCTGTACAAGTTGATTTCTTTCTCTTCCTCAGGTCTATAGCTCCTGATTAACAAATCCAAAATGTATTCTTATCCTATATACAATTACCACTAAATTCAAAGGAACTTACTTCTGAGTAAACATGTGCAGGGCTACACTGTTAAGCTCCCATGTGGAAGGAGATGACTATTTGACAAAGCAATGCTATTTAATTCTGCTGTAAATTAAATTCTTAATTGTGTTAAAGAGAAAGCAAAGCACTAAAGAGTCTGAAAGGCTATCATTCTGTCTTAATCCCAGCATTCAGCTTTTAAGCATCATTATTCATGTAACCAAAGCCGAACTCATTTGCATGAGATGGTGATGTCTTGAAGAACTCTAAACTTTGCATATACGGAGGGGGGGGAATTGTTATGGAGAAAAGCTAGTCTCTCATGAGTAAGATAGGACCCTGGAAACATTTCCAGTTTTTTTTTTATCACAACTCTCAGAATACCTCAGCCAGTACAGTCATACAGGCCATGAAATTTTGGAAGTTGTAGTCTGACAAGTTACTTTTTCCTAGCTTTAAGTAAGATACAGTTTCAAATGCTATAATCAAATCATGCTGGCTTTTTTACAGAAGGATACCCAATGCAGTGTAGTAGATAAAGGGAGCAATCAGGACTCTGGAGACCTAGGTTAAATCTCTACTCAGCCGTGGAAACTTACAGGGTGTATGTGGCACCAGTAAAATCACTCCTTAAATACTGACCTTGAAAGCCCTATTAGGGTTGCTGTAAGTTGGTTCTGACTTGAGAACTCACAACACACATTTTACAAAACACAGATAAGTTTAGATTTATTAAACCTTTTCACAGAAGCTTTGAATTCTCTTTTGGTGATGAAGACAAAATATAGATGGGTCCATATAGTTTTACTGTATGGCACTGAAAATATTCTACTTCTCTCTCTCTCTCTCTCTCTCTCTCTCTCTCTCTCTCTCTCTCACACACACACACACACACACACACACACACACAGACAGAATTTGAAATCATATTTAAAGCACAGACCAATCATAGCTTGTTAAGAATTTCTTGGATGAAGTAAGCAAAGGAGTAGTACACTACTAGTAAAGACCATAAAATTGTTAAATACATAAAATGGGGAAAGTTAGAATACTTCCATCACAGGAGAAACAAAAACTACAGATTGTTACAGTCACTCATTCAAGAAGAAATATATTGGGGGGAAAAGGCACAGGAAGGAGAAGAATTTATTGGCTATGAAGCCTTGGGGGCTGGTCTGGATGCAACACAGCATCACTGTTCTAGAGTTGCCACATCCAAACCAAAAAGGGCCCTTGTGATGTTCAATTTCCAGTGGGGAGAAGAACAACAAGGGGGGGGGGTTGATGACAGGAAACTCAGAGTGATGAAACATTATACAGTACTTCTCTCTATCAAAAATAAGCAGTCAACTAAATCACCTGTACATCAACTTTGCACAGCTCTTGGACTGTTACCAAAATACACCGTCACGAGTATTTCTGCTGTTTACATTTGCTCCTGCTTTAAAAATAAATATGTTGTTTTCACTCCTAAGTACAGTATCTTTCACAAGGTGAAATGAAAGCTGAACAACCCAAGTTCTAAAAATAGATGCAAGATTTTTCATATAATTAAGACTGCTACATTTCCAAACATCCACAAAAATGAAAAAATGGCAAACTAGAAACTATCAGCCAGTAGCTGTAATGGCTAAATGGAATGTCCCAGCCAGAGGCAAAACTGTTCTGAATACCAGATAATATGATAAACAACTTTACTCGTGCTATGGTTTCAAGCTTCCAAGTGATACCTTCCAGGTCCTTGACAGAACCAGAATAATGGATCCATTTCACCTTGGCCTGGACTGGCAGGGCTCTTCTTATGTCCTTATGAAAAAGCTTTACCAGGGTTTGGAAGTCTAAGGGAATTATAAACTAAGAATGGGCACCTTGTGTCTCTCCAGATGTTGTTAGACAGATACTCCCATCAATCCCAGCTGGCTGTACAGCTCTGTAGTTTAGGTATCTGGTTGCAAAGTCAGAGGTTGGAAGTTCAGTTCCTCACTGGGCATCCCAGAAGAGCTAGCCTGTGTGGCCTTGAGCAAGCTGCACAGTCCCAAAGTGTCCTCAGAAAATAGGAACAATAAATCACTTCTGAGTACTCTCTAGAAAACCCTGAAAAGGGTCACCGTAACTCAGAATTGACTTGACAACTGGCAGGCTAGGAGTACCCTGGGGAACACTCCTCAGTGTGCTGTCCATCTCTTCGAGTGAAGATGTGGTAGGAAGGATAACAATGGTGGAAGAAACTGTGAAAGGACTACAGTGGTGCCTCGCTTAACAATGTTAATTCGTTCCAGCGAAATCGCTGTAGAGCGAAAACGTTGTAAAGCAAAATAAAAAAGCCCATTGAAATGCATTGAAAACCATTCAATGTGTTCCAATGGGCTGAAAACTCACTGTCCAGCAAAGATCCTCCATAGGGGCGGCCATTTTAGGTGCCTATAGAGCAAGGAATCTGTCCAAAAACACAGCGGGGAGCCATTTTGAGCACCCGGTGGCCATTTTGAAAACCCGACAATCAGCTGTTTTGATTGTCGTAATGCGAAGACTCGGTTCCGAAGCAGGGAACCGATCTTCGCAAAGCAAAACAAAACAAAACAAAACAAAACAAACATTTAAAACATTGTTTTGCGATCGCAATTGCGATCGCAAAAACATCGCCGTGAAGGGGATTCGTCATTATACGGGGTAATCATTAAGCGGGGAAAGACTGTATGTCTAAGCGACAACATACAGAAAAACCAGGGAAAGGATCCGACAGAGGGCAACACTTTGGTGGGAGTAAAAGGGGATATAAAAGGAGGCGAGGAGGATAGAGGGGGGCAGTTGGAATCAGTAGAGGAGGAGGCATGTCGTTGGGTGGTAGAGGAGAAAGATGAGTATACGGGGTAATCATTAAGCGGGGAAAGACTGTATGTCTAAGCGACAACATACAGAAAAACCAGGGAAAGGATCCGACAGAGGGCAACACTTTGGTGGGAGTAAAAGGGGATATAAAAGGAGGCGAGGAGGATAGAGGGGGGCAGTTGGAATCAGTAGAGGAGGAGGCATGTCGTTGGGTGGTAGAGGAGAAAGATGAGCAAGAGAAACAGTTGGAATCAGTAGAGGAGGAGGCATGTTGTTGGGTGGTAGAGGAGAAAGATGAACAAGAGAAAGATTGGGTAGAAATAGTGCAAAAAGACCCGTGGACAGGGGAATGGACTGAGTTTAAAGTACCTAAGAATATGCAGAGGAAGAGTGGAACAAACAAATATATTGCAAGCCGCCTTATCAGGGCAAAATTGAGGAAAGAGAGCAGAGAGTGGCAGAAAAGGGAGGCCCAGAGAAATGAAAATGGGGCATATTCAGAAATTCCTGGGAGACCCCATTGGGAGACCCAGGCAAGAAAGTTTGGGAGCCTCAGGTGGGGTGGATTTTTCACCCTCACCAGCAAAGTGAAGCAATGCGGTAACTGAAGAGTCAGACATCCCACGCAAGTGGCAGTATGAGTTTAGCTCAATGCCTCTACCTGTTGAGAGGGATTTGTTATTGTTTGATGAAAAGACAGTTGAAAGGAAACCTCTGAAGCAAGAGTCTGAGTCAGTTACCAATGTTAATTCGAACAAGTTTTTAAAAATAAAAGAACCTTTGTCATTAACAGATGGTGCTCAAAAGTCTTCTGGGCAAGACACTGAAGAAAGAAGAGGGAACTGTATCCAGTCACAACACCTCCCCCTCCCACCACTCATCAGTCCTAAGCCACATAAAATGATAGGAGTTGCAATCTAAGAACATCTGGAAAGCCACATGTTTCTCATCTCTACTATAAGCCCTATACTATGAAAAACAAGCTTACTCATCTGGAAACACAGAGAAGACTGCTGACTATCTTAATCAATATGGTGCTACTTTGCACACAGTTAACTGGGAGTCAGAAAATCTCATCATTCTACTGCAATTAGGGCCAGTCCTACCATTAGGTAAAGTGAGGGGACAGATGCCTAGAGGCAGCAGCAAAGTGTTGCAGAGCTGTATGCCATATGGCTTCTCCTGCACCCTCTAAACTTGCCTGAAACGTCACAGATGTGACAGTGACACTCTCTCATTGTTGTTGTTTAGTTGTTAAGTCGTGTCCAATTCTTCGTGACTCCCTGGACCAGAGCATGCCAGGCCCTCCTGTCTTCCACTGCTTCCCGGAGTTGGGTCAAATTCATGTTGGCAGCTTTGATGACACTGTCCAACCATCTCGTCCTCTGTCGTCCCCTTCTTCTTTTGCCTTCACACTTTCTCAACATCAGGGTCTTTTCCAGGGAGTCTTCTCTTCTCATGAGATGGGCAAGGTATTGGAGCCTTAGCTTCAGGATCTGTCCTTCCAGTGAGCACTCAGCGTTGATTTCCTTCAGAATGGATAGGTTTGTTCTCCTTGCCGTCCAGGGGACTCTCAGGAGCCTCCTCCAACACCACAATTCAAAAGCATCAATTCTTCGGTCGTCAGCCTTTTTAATGGTCCAGCTCTCACTTCCATGCATCACTACTGGAAAAACCATAGATTTGACTATGTGGCCCTTTGTCAGCAAGGTGATGTCTCTGCTTTTCAAGATGCTGTCGGCATAACCCATAACTCTTAATTACTTAAGCCCCTTCGCCACCACAAGGCAGCAATCCATGAAGGGGGCTCTCTCATTACTAAAATGTAAAGAATAATCAACTGCCAGTTCAGTTCAGATTTCATACATGGAACAGGAAAGGGCAACATCATCTTCACTGCTTCAGACAGCGAAATGTCTCTGATCACCTAACCAGAAATCTCCCAGAGACCTACAAGTAGATTCAGATCTACCTTCTGCATTCCCCTCTACCTCACAGCACATTCAAGAGTAAAGTTCTGAACTTTAAGTTAGTCTATCAAGACTTGTTATTTTTGCCATTGTTATGTACCTAGTTGGAACTGACATATAACGACCCTAACAGGGCTTTAAAGGCAAGTGAGATATTTAAGGAATAGTTTTACCTGTTCCAGTCCCCCCAGTGGGTTTCCATGGCTGAGCAGGGATTCAAAACCAGGCCTCCTGAGTCCTGGTCCAGCACTGTATCCACTACCCCACATTGGGTATCCCATGAAGACAGTTAGGTTATTTAGGTTTTTTAATAACCCTAGATACTGATGGTTGAAAACATCAACAAAACTAAACAAATCTGATTTCAATGATACCACATTGTACAAAGAAGGCAGAAGTTATGTGATAAAGTCATGCTTAGAAGTAAAATCTAGATTTTCTTTAAACAATACCTACAAAGGATAGAAGCTTGTGTTATGAATTGCTTAAATCCACTTGACTTTTGAGAACACAACCTATAAACGGAATCCCCACTTTCCTCTCTCTATTTTGTCCCTCTTTTCCTTAACTTCTTCCATGCTTACAGGTGAAGAGATAACAGAGGTGGCAGGCAAGGACAAGAAATGTTTCACGAAAGTGGAAACGGTTAGGCAAAATGAGACTCACTCTCTACTTTCCTGCACTTTTTAATGGACATGAATGAAAAAGAGACCAATAAACCTTCAACTAACAATAAAAATTGCTCAGTTGCTCTGTCAATTTGTCTTGAACAGGAAACGGGAATAATATCAAGTATAACAGCTTTAGTGTAACTTGAAGGCCCAGATTTGAACAGGGGAAAGGGAGTGGTAAGAAGCTGTTTCTCCAGTTTTCCAAATGTTTTTGTGAACTGGTTCACACATCACAACAAGGCAGAGTTCCACTGATGGTATCCAATCGCTCCCATCCACAGAGCCATTAACTGCAGGAGGGAGCAACTCTGCCCCCCCTAAGGTATTCTTCAACTGCAATTCCTGGTTCAATGTAACATCAGACAGGAGGCAGCATTCTGGCTTGCTCCTTCCCCCAACAAGGCACAGCACTGTTTCCTGCCAGGCTCATATAGCACATTAAACAAGTAGCCTGACTCATTTAACCTTTTCTCCTGCAAGGAGTGCTTATTGAAGACGCACTAACATTCTGGGTTATCCTGAAATTCTAGCTTGCTGCTACATTTGAATGTGCCAATGCATCTTATTTGTCACCTCTTAAGATTTACCTCTCAGCTTTTGATCAGATAATCTCCATGCTGTCTTCCGTTGGTATTAAACAGTGTAGTGTAAGATTATTATTAACCCTGATTTTACTGGTATTCACTATATATTGGAAACCATCCAGAGTGCTCTACGAAGCCGTGTTGTCAGGATACACATTTTAAAAACTGATTTAAGTCAGAAAGGAAGGCAGGAAGGCCAAAAATAAAGAGCGTCCACACAGCTGACCGCCTTTGCGTATTATCCCCTCTACATAGAGAATAAGGCTCCTTCATGATGGAAGAAACACAAAACCCTACCTCCAGATTTCATCCCCACCCCCATAAACAAGAACTTAGTTTCTGCCCGCAGGACCTGCAAAGAAGTCCCTGCTTAGACAATGAATAGATTACTTTGCCCTCTCTCTGCCTGCATGACCAAGGCTTCATTTGTAATCAGAAATTATTTGCAAAATTCAGAGGCCAAACTTCAAAGAGAAAAGGGAGTGGAGGAAGGGGAGAGAAATGCCCATTATTTCTTGGCCGTTCTCCTGTTCTTGCCTCTCTTCTTATCGCTCCCTCTGCAGTCCTCTTTCTAACGTGCAAAACCTTCCTCTCCAGGAATGTACTCCGGCCACCTTTAGAGTAACCCCCTCCTGGAGGTGGAGGGCGGTGGGCGGAATGCAAAGAAAGGAAAACTCTCACCTTCTTCCATCGCCAGCCACTACCGTGACTGAGATTCCCCCACAGCAGGACGCCGGTTCCTCTGCTGGGCTCCCCACGGCCAAGCAGTGTGTTGTGGGGGCTTTCGTCCTTTTTTCGCGCCTGGTCCCACTCGAGAACACACACAACACACCCCACGACTGCAGGAGAGGTTGCCTTTCACTTCCTGTTAGCGCCCCTATACCGAGCCAGCATCTCTTCCTTTTCTTCAGGACCAGGCGGAACATTGCATCGGCGATAGAGAAAACAAGCCGAACGGAATTCGAGACGTACCGAAGCAATGCCAGTTCTCTGTACACAACTTCCGCCCTGAAATTCTCCTTAAATAGGCAGCCCTCTGCACTACGATGCCCCCTTTTCGTTTGTGCGGAAGATGTTCATTCATTCATTCATTCATTCATTCATTCACTCACACCAGTTCCAAGACGGAGAACTAAATCCCCCACTAGATAGCCTTTGGAATTATTTCTGCCTCATAAGTGGTTGATAGGGAGAGTTAGTTTTTACTTTATGCAGAAAAGTCGGGGGGGGGTTGGGTCATCTTTGTACAGAATCCAAAACTAAGGGTTGGTTTATTAGGCCAGTAAAACAAGGACAAAAAAAGCATAGCTTTTGACGTTATTGTTTTAGATTTGTTGTTCACATGGTGCCCAGGGTAACGTAGGAAAGAGTTAGTCCTATTTTACAAGCTTGTTAAGCAGAAAGTGGGAGATTGGCTGAAAATCTAACAAGGATGGTTGAGCAGGGATTTTAAAAATCTAGGTTTCCCCCACAGCCACTCCAATGCTAACATCGGCATGTTATCTATGTCTTTAGAAGCAGTGAATGGTAAACCACTTCTATGTACTCTATCTAGACAACCTTGAAAAGGGTTGCCGCAAATCACAACTCACTTGATGACACACAATTATTATTTAATTCATTCTAAAAGAGGCAAAGTCTCTGAGCATACTTTTATTCTTATGTGCTGTCACATTCCTTCCAAGTTAGGGTGACTTTGTGTGAATTAATTAGTGACTTCCGAAAGAGCCCTCCCTCCTCAGCTCTTGCAGAAATCAAAATCATTGCTTCCTTTATGGAGTTAACCTGGTACAGAATTGCAGGCTGGCTGAGTCACCTGCAGATCCAGCAGTGCAGAAGACCAAAAGGAAGAAGGACCACGATCATGCCAAAACCCTTCTACATCTACCTGGCTATGATTGCACTGGTGATGCAGGCATCCCCAGAATGGAATTGAAACTGCCCCAGGTCTTGACCTGTCCAAGCCTCTGGATTTCTCAAAGAAAGTAAAATATGAGCCTGCTTACATGTTAAGATCAGGAGAGGATTTTTCATCGGCCCCACCAATCTTCCAAATGCATTTGGTGGGGAGACAAGAGAAAGCATTCTCTGGTCCTGTTCCAGATTTTGGAACTCCCTCCCACAGGAGCCCAGACTGGCCCCATCTTTACTGACCTTATGTAAGCAGACAAAAGCTTTTTCTTCAGTCAAGCTTTCTCTTTGGGGAGTGGGTTTTTTTTCAAATGGATTGATTTATCTTACTGAATGTGTTTTGGTGTTGCTTAAGTTTACTGTAGTAATTGGTTGTTTCTTTGTTTTGTAAACTTTGCATACTTACTGTTTTTAGCTTTTAAACATTGTATTCTACTGATGTAAGTTGCCTTGAGTCTTTTTTAAGGAGAAAGGTGGGGTAAAGATATTTTAAATAAAATAAATAAATATTTGGTCTTCCTCTTTTCCAGTCACCTGCCAGTTTTGCTAGCATTATCGCCTGAGACCATGAAGAAATCATTTGCTTCTCTCACAACCTACATATAGCAAAGATTAAAAGAGAAAAGGTTTTGTGTGTTTTAAATGAACATTTCTTCCTATGAAGAAACTTAGTAACTGGGGGATATGGAACCTTGTATCTGTCTTGGAAAATATGGTCTCTGTGTATGCACTTGGGAAATTGGCTGGGAGCTGTAATGATCAGGGTCAGCTTGGGATCAAGGAGGGGACATAACACCTGTGGCTTATCTCTTGGAAAGGAGGCCTTCAAGGCCAGGACTAACCAGTTCCCTGGTGCTGTGCTAGCTGGGAAGTGACTTCAGCTGTGAGAGACGGGAGGAAAGTGTGCTTGAGTTTCTGAACATACAAAAGAGCTCAAAGCCTAATTGGTGAATCATGTGGAAGAGTCTAGAAAGGGACTTGAATGTATCAAAGAGGGTTAAGAAGTCACCTCAGTTGGCTTAGCTTGATTTAACATGAGGTGTTATAATCAGTTGCGGTTCTGCTGTGAGAGATGCACTCTGTGCATGCCTTAGAACCATGCTGGTCTGCGTGTATTAGGTGGTGTAGTTAAGCCTTCTTGTTTTCTAGTGAGTTCTCTTGATTGCCTTAGCTTTGTTTTAATTGTATTTTTGCTCCAAATGCTTTTTGAGTATTAAATATTTAAATATTTTTGTCTTTTTCATTTCGTTGGCAATTTGTTGTTGTTATTTTTAAATCTCCAACCAGTTCTTTGAGTTTTTGGCTCAGAAGGTTTGTAGTATCGAATTTTTGCTTGACTACGTACTGGGACTTTTTGTTCTTTTGCAGTACAGTAGTAATGGTAGTTCTACCTTGCAAGGAGGGTGTACTGGTTCTAAGTGGATAGCCTAGTGTTTTTTTTTTAGCTCTCTGAAAGCAATGTCAAATCTCAGAACACTGGGGGGATCAGGAGGTACAAGTGCCAGGCTTTTTGTAATTTTAATTGCAACTCACTCTCCTTGGTCCACCCACCTCATGGCAAACAGGATAGTATGCTTCAGTGGCTATAGAAGGGCCCTTTGGACCTGGGCTATCTTCACACTCCCTATAATTCTTCAAAATTTGCCTAAAATCTGAACTTCAGTACTAATTTATACAGATCACATCACTGCATTTAAAGACCAGAGTGTCAGCCATCCTTGGAAAACAAGACTCTAAAGAGCAGCTATGTTAATCTCCTGCAGAAAATGTACCACAAACCCAAGAACACCTTGAAAGTTAGCAATGAATCGTGGCATAACTATACAGTATACTTTATCAGATGTATGGGGAAAATATGTGCACAATAGAGTCCAATGGAAAGGAATGCCATAGCCTGGCTGGTACTGCAACAGAATTTGGAAGGAGTCAACAAAAAGAATAAAGGATTAAATCAGAATATGCACGGCCCCTTTTCCATCTGGCAGTGAATTGCTTCAGAAAGATTATTAGTGTCCTTTAATGCCTAAAATGGTATGAGTACCTTTTCTGGTGAGCTGGCCACTCCCTCCCAGTCCCTATTCAGTTTACCTTTGATAGTGTCCAATTTGCATATGAATTCCACTGGGCAGTGAATTCAGTTTCATACTCCAGTGAATGGTCAGACCTGGAGGGGCTTTCAGTCTCCCCAGACATTCTGTAAGACTTGAAAGTTGCCATACTTGAAGGGGGTGGGTGGAGAATTTCAAAGGAGGCTGCAACTTGAAAGCTACTGCTTTGCAGACTCTGAAGAGAGGTGGGGGAGTACCAATTCACTAAAGAAAATAATTGCCCCTTGTAAGATGTTTTAAATGCTTTTTCAGTTCTTCAATAGGTCTTCAATGCAAATGGCTCAGCATATGAATAGTTTTTCCATTACGTCCTTGGTAAATGACGCATTTGAAAGAGTGCAATTTGCCTTGTTTAAGGTGCCACAGGACGCTCTTACTGGGGAACAAGATTATCATCTATTTTTAACCATTCATTTTTTATAAGGGAAATTTGTCTAGGTCATTCTTTTGAAGAAGACCAGACAAACAAATGTAAGTCTGATTCTGCTTAATCTGTGTGTGACTTACAGGATAAGGAAAAACCTTAATTACTTCACATCATGACAAGTATTCCCTATAATTTATTCGGGAGGGGGTTTAAGTTTCTGGGTGTATGACTGTAACATTCCTATTTTGAGTGCATGATGTTTGGAATGGTCAGAATATTTTCACAAGAGATAGAAGCTTATGTAGTTCAATTTGTGGCAGTACTATTTTCAGCAGAGAGTATGTGAAAAGGCTTCAGAGGGTGTGTGCACATATGTGTGTATAGGACAGAATATGAACTCAGAGTGTGCACATATAAAATGACCTTCCCCATTGACTTTGAGAGAGAAAGCAGCTATCGTCCTTTTCACTAAAGTACAGCAGGAAAGCCATTGTGACCGCTCCTGTAACTGCAAGGACTCACCAGGGCCAGGATGATTGCCTTCTTGTTTTCTAGCATCTGCTATATCTGGGAACTCCTGGATAGCTCAGTGGTTTAGTTATCTGGCTACAGAGCAAGAAGTTGGGAGTTTGATTCCCCACTGTGCCTCCTTCACAAGGGCTAGACCTGATGGTCCATAGGGTCCTTTCCAGCTCTGCAGTTATAATATTACTATTATTATATGCAGTGTAGTTGGATTATTTAGGGAAACACATACGAGTCTGAGCTTTTTGAAAATGTCATTTTGGAGATGTATAGTTTTTACAATAAAATTCTGACTTGGGAAAAATTGCTTCTTCAGATTTTGACTCCCAAAATCCTTTAGATATTGCCACTGACTATGGTATCTGACAATTCTGAGAAAAAAACCTAATTTTTCCCAGAACAGAATTAAAACAAAAAATTAGAGATGGGAGAACATCTAAAATTCTTGGGTGGAGTGTTTATTGTGCTGTCTTGCTGTAAACTGCTAAGTGTAGTGCTTTGCACGAAGTCAGGGGTATAGAAATGCAAAGAATGAATTAATGTTTCTACTAGGTGAACTGAAACTATGCATCTCACCACCACTGCCGTTCCATAGGAAGCACTGGGCTAACCAATATACAGTAATACACCCTAAAGTCTGGAAGTCTAACCCGTATGCAGTGGCACAGAGTTGCATCTAGCCAAAACTTAATCACAGCAACCCTGTGAGGTAGATTAGTCCAAAAGACTGGCTGATCTAAAGTTATTAGCACAGCTATGTGGCTGATGAAGGTTTATGAACCATGGTTCCCCCTAGTCCTCATCCGATACTTTTACCAGTGTATCACGACGCTCAGATGGCAAAATCACAAATCCGTTTGCTTCAAAAAATATTCACGGAAGGGGCATGTCCTGTGTGTCCTTATAGGCTGCTGTCATCCTCATTAAATACAAAATGTAGACATAGCCATTTTTAATTTTCACTGTTTTGTTGTAGTGTCATCCTGAATATAGCGAAGGAAGGACCTTTAAACTTCAAACATTTTTCTTTGGATGTGTTTAGCAACAAATGGCAAACTGCAATT